CCGCACTCTACTCCGTGTCCCGAGGTTATATGTATATATAATTATAGTTGACATACAGTGTTATTCAACATCAGTTTCAGAAATACAATGCGTTGGTAAGGCCTCCACATCAACTATGAAGTGGACTCCCCAAAAGGGCATTGGTCCATCTGAAAGGGCACTCTTTATGCTCACCTCATTGCAGTCATCTACCTCTGAAAAAAGATGAAGTATTCATCTAGTTTCAAATACCAGATTATAAAAAAGTTAAACCACTACTAAAAGCCATTGTGCATTCAATTTAACCATCAAACACCTTAATTCCATAAATACAAGACTACAGAAAAGTTTTTACCATTTTTATAATATTATTTAAAAACAGAGAAAAAAGTTTATGTCTTAGTTAATTAGCTCTGTGGCACTAGTAAATTACTTCACCTCAATGAGTTTTAGTTTTCTCAACCGTAAACTGTAACTATATAACTCCAAGGTTCTTACTAAGTAAGACAACTGGACATATAAGTTCCTAGTCTTCCTGGACCATATTAAAGAGTGCAAAAAATGTTACATCCCTGCCCATGAGATGGTCTTCAGGAAAACCCTCTGCCTACATCCTAGCATTTCAACAGGCATCTAATCTTAAACACTTACCTTGTGTTCTTGTGGCGTCTCATTCTTCTACAAATTATAACTATTTAATGTTTAATTCATTTTCATTTTGTATGATACAGTGAAAATGTAAAATCAAAGGAAAATCTGTACACAAAAGATAGATACAAAATTTCCGAACACTATACAAAGTTAGGCTAAAACCCAAGCAGGATTCTTACCTGAAAACTATTTCTAGGTAATGGTTAACAAACTTGCAAAGTCAACAGGATATTTAATTAGGGGTAATGATAAGAGTTAACATTAAAATAAACACATAAATAAGGGTACTTTGCTCTATTGCACTGTAACACCTCATAGTTGTTTTTACAAGCAGACCTCGGAGACATTGGGGGTTCGGGTCCAGACCACCACAGTAAAGTGAAGGTCGCAATAAGGAATCCCACTAAGTTTTGGATTTCCCGGTGTGCATGAACATTATGTTACACCATACTGTAGTCTATTAAGTGTACAACAGCATTATGTCTAAAAAAAGGATATCACAATTTAAAAATAATTTATTGCTAAAAAATGCTATCACCTGAGCTTTCAGCGAGTCATCTTTTTGCTGGTGGAGGGTAGGTCTTGCCTTGACGTTGTTGAAAACACAGTATCTGTGAAGTATAATAAAGCAAAGCGCAATAAAATGTGCTACACCTGTATTTCCTAAAGATTGCTAGTTACTTTTTTTAAAAAGTGGTAAAAAATATATATAATAAAACGGTCATTCAACCATTTAAAAAAAAAAAGATTTTATTGGGGAATTAGGGGAGGGAACAGCGTTGGGGAATCGGGGAAGGGGAACAGACAAGTTGCTGTCCTTTTGTTCTTCAGTCTAGTTGTGGAGGACGTCGCTTCACTGGCCCATGNAGGGGAACAGACAAGTTGCTGTCCTTTTGTTCTTCAGTCTAGTTGTGGAGGACGTCGCTTCACTGGCCCATGTTAGTATTATCATTGCGCTCTTCCTGGGTGAGGCAGATTGGTCACTGGGTCCTGGACAGCCCCTCACGGCGGCTTTTGGCAGCTCACGCTGGCTGCCAGCCACTCATGGTAGATTTACAGCAGCCCACTGCAGCCTACTCCGACACGGGCCACTCATGGCAGCCCAGCTCCAGGTTGAGCTGTTGTTCACCATCTTAGCTGTAGAGGGCGTAGCGTCACTGGCCCTATTGTGGAATCCCAACCCAGGCCCTGCTGCTCAGAGCTGGTGTCCCAAGCCAACTCTTAACCAATGTGCCACTCAGCCAGTCCAACAACACTCCTTTCTAAAACCTCCATAAACACCACTCAGGAAAAAAAGAAGAGACAAAAGCAACAAAATTTTACAAGCTGAAGAGCACATGCATGAGTAGTTATGTAATTCTGCTGACCTACACTTGCCAAATTCCAAAACAATGATGGAAAAGGCTAAGAAACATCCTAATTTAGGCTGCTGATTCCTCAAAAAGCTCAGAGACCTGTAGCTGCAGATGTCCCTGGAATAGGAAGTGGGTGGCTAAAATGAGGTAGGGAAAACCCTACATCCCTTCCCTCCCTCCATGTTGATATTAACAGGTCTTTCCCCACTCTGGCACAAGTTCCAGACTTCTATTCTTTGGAGAGGACAGAACCTAAGATCTTTGTCTTAGGTTCACCAAGCATGGGTGAAGGGTGAATGCTTCAGTACCATGCATATGAAATGCCCCTTCTCGCACTGATTCCCAGAGAGCTGTATCCACACTCCTAACTTCCAGGCAGCAGACTCTTTCCTGAAAGACTTCTTTCTCAGAAATACTTTTCTCTGTGGAATTAGGAACCAACAAAAAGGAAAGACCGAAAGATAATGACTCAAGAGGTTCCCCACCAATTAGCCAAAAGAATCATCCTACAGTGAAGCTCCAAGTTGAAAGCCCCACTCACTCCTTCAAACTGCTTTCTACTTCCCAATTCTTGATTACGAGCTGACCATTCAAGAATTTTGAAATATGTGAGGAAAGTTTCTAATAAGAAAAATAGTTAAACGAAATAAAAACAAAGGAAAGACAGAGAATGTAGGAAAAAGAAAATGAAAAAATGAAAGACCACAAAACTATCAATACTCTAGATGGGTAAGTGATGAGCAAAAGACCATAAAAAATTATTCTTTCTAATATAAAAAACAGCTTCCGGGGCCGGCCAAGTGGCACGTTGGTTAAAAGCTGGCTTGGGACGCCAGAGGGCCCCGGTTTGGATCCCACACATGAGGGCCAGTGACACTGCCCTCCACAACTAAGATGCTGAACAACAGCTCAACCTGGAGCTGGGTTGCTGTGAGTCGCCAGCGACAGCCCCTGCTGCAGTGGGTTGCCATGGGCTACTGTGTATAGCCAGCAGCCAGCGTGAGCGGCCAGCAGACCCCGTGAGCTGCCGTCTAGAAGCCGGCAACTGATCTGCCTCATTCGGGAAGAGCACAATGATGGTGCCAACTTGGGCCAGTGAAGCAACGTCCTCCACAACTAGACTGAAGAACAAAAGGACAGCAACTTGTCTATTCCCCTTTTAACCCCCCAATTAAAAAAATCTTAAAAAAAAAACAAAACAGAGCTCCTGGGAATTAAAAGTTTAGCAGAAATGGAAAATTCAGTAAAAAGGTTGAAAGATAAAAGTTGAGGAAATAAAGCAAAAAAAAAGAATAATTATAACTATCATTAACTGTGTGTGTGTGAGTGTGTGTGTGTGTGTGTGTCCTGTAACTTATGGGCCATGCACTTTACTAATTTCTACCCTCATTTCAATCATCATAGCAGTCTTGGGAAGAAAGACATAATTTACTCATTTATAAAATATGCATAATAAAAGTGCGTTTAATTGAATAAGATGGGCATTTATAAGTGTGCATAATAAAGGTTCACCTATTGACCATTACTTAGTTTGCACTAGCCAAAGTAAGTGAGAGAGCAGTGTACCCCAGTTGGGCTGGGACTAAAACCTGATCCTTGTACCACACCATGCTGCAAATACCCTAGGAACACTGCAGAGAAAAATGGCTTTTCTAAAGTGATAACTGGGTCAGTGACTTGTTACCCTGTCAATCTGTCCGAACGAGTCCCCTTTCCCTATGAACGCCCATCACAGCTCTAAAACCATACCCGCATCCCATTTCTCCAAACTATTGGGAATGTTAACTATCACCACTTCAGGTACCCTAGGAAAATTACCCAGTTGAACAGCGTCCACTCTTAAAAGCTAGACATAGCACTCTCCAACCTGACACCTTGTCCTAGATCTAACTAACTAATGAAGGGTGCTGTGAAGCATAACACTATAAGTGCAAACCCAAGTTTGGTGAAAAGCAACAAGGGCAAAGGGAAGACAGGAATACTAGGAGATAAACTAACCACAAGTGTCTTCATGATGACCAAGGGAAAACTGTTTGATCAGCTTGAAAGGATAAAATAGGCAGACCAAAGACTGTATGTATATGTATAGGATCCCAGATAATAAATGTAAAATCATAGATTTTTTTTAAACCATCAATTTGACACCCCTAATAAAATTATTGATTCAGGCAAGGATTGGTGTTAAAACCATTAACTAAATAGCTAACAGAGAACTGGGCATTTTATTGTATTAAAATGAACACCAAATAGATTGCTTTCTGATAACAAGGAAAAAAACACATTAACTTCATAATGGGAGGATCATGCAGTCACTATCAATCTCAGAATCACGAGCATGACAACTAGATTATTTATCTCCTGATGTGATGCTAGCTGGAGGGCTGGCAGGATACATAAACAAATCTCTCAAATATAACACAGAAACATACAAAAAAATACTCTCCGTTAACCTTAAAACAACAGAAGAGTCAGTAGATTTTTCTGAACCCAACAGCAAAGAAAAAATTCTTTATATCCACTGGGAAGGAAGAAAATACTGTTAAATGCAAAGCATGTAAAATGGAACTAACTCTAAGTCCTATTTTGGCACTCGGGAAAATACACATGGTGTAAATATAAGCACCCACTCCCAGTGGTTTCCCAGTGATTACCCTGGTTTGGCTCTGGGGACAGGGTCCACCCAAGCAATTAGCTCTTGGCCATCAAGATAAGAGGGAATTAAATCCCACAGAACATGCTACTATCGTACTCAGCGTAGTAAACAGAAAAGCGGTGTAAAATTACTCACAAAAGCAATGCCTGCGTCCTTAGTTTCTGCCAAAGCTTTACCAGATTGGCCTAAAGGTGATTCCTGGTTCTAAAATGACAGGAGATGGAAAATGGTTTACTTACACCAACCTGGATGCAACACGATTCCCAACCACCAGAGGGAGGAAGCAAAGGGACAAGTAATCAAGGAGTTTTCAGCGCTCTTCTGCCCTTCCCCAACCCAACGCGGTGGAGAAACCAGGTTAAAAAAACTATAGGGCCCGCAAGCGCTAGACAAAGCTGAGGCTGTTTCTTCAAACCACAGAACGGGAGGCGGACAGCACCAAGCCTGCTCGGAGGAAGGTGGGGGGAGACAAACGTTACCTCTAGGCCACGGAATGGTAATTCCTTCCCGAACTAGCCCACCCGGAGTTGCCCCCGTCACTGTGCGCACCAATTCGAAGGTAGGGGCGGTTCACGTCACCTCTGGGCTGACTCTCCCACAGCTGCCCCAGCAGTAGCGCTGGGCCCAAGACTTGCCCCCACCCTGTCCGCCATTACAGACTCTCCCCAATAAGATCCGGAGGAGCGCGCAAGAGGGGCCGGGAACAGAGGCTGACCCTCGCCCCCAACACCTAGGGGCCCCCGACTCCAGCGCAGCCCGGGGAGAGCGACCACGACCGCGCGCCCCTTCCCCCTCGCCCCCCGCACAGAAAGGGAAACACTCGCGACCCCCCTGCCCCAGGCGCCCCAGCCCGCGTCCTCACCCGGCCCTCCCAGCCTCGCCCGCACGCCCGCAGCCCGCAGCCCTCGGGCCTCACGCGCCGGAGCCCGTGACATGAGCGAAGCCCGGAGCAGCCTCCGAGGCCCGAAGCGCAGCGGCGGCCGCGACCTCGACGCGGCGGTTGGTCCTGGGCCGGGGGATGGCTCGGAGGCCGCCCTCACCCATCTCCGTCTCCCAGGCCGCATCCGTCTCCCGAGACAGCGCTGCGCCAGACACCCCCACCATCGGCCGACCCGGACTACGAAAACAGCGGGGACGAGCCTCACCTGGTTCTGGCTGCCGCTCCGCGGAACGAATCTCCCCTCCTCCGGCCCACCCGCCTCGGCAACACCCACTAATCTGCTCCGCACAGTCCCGGGTTTAGCGCGGGTGAGCAGGAGGCGGAGAAGGCGGCGGCGCTGCTGAGCCCAGGAATGCCCCGCCCTCCGCGCTCCCAGTGGCTGGAGGGAGGGCGGGGCTCCCTGGGCACGTCCATTGGTTGCGTTGGCCTTCCTTCAGGCCCTCCTCGAGGGGGTGGCCCGGGAGACTGTCCATCAGGCGCAGGCCACACCCTCGGCGTTTCCAGTCTCCTGGCACCCCTCTCCAGCAGCCCGAGCCTTTGGCCGAGTCCCCTCCCTCCTTGCGCCCGCCTCTTGCCCCTGTCTCACCAGGTCCGTCAGGTCAGGCGGCCTGACTTTCGTGGCCGTGGTACGTGCGGCGGGCTCTGTCCCAGTGAGACCGGGGACTCCCCGGGGCCGGGACAGCTCGAGACACTTAGGCTGGGACTCCCAGGCCGCCGTGGCGGCTCCCAACGGCCCTGACCGGGGAGGGACGCGGCTTCGGTGTCCCCAACGCCCTCCTTGTCCAACTCCTTGATGCCCCGTGCATGCCTCCTCTGGGCAGGGGCTGTCGCGGGGCCAAGCGGAGGGCGGGCGGCGGCCGAAGGCGTCCCCGAGTGTTCCTGGGGTGGACATACGTCCACCCGCGGCTCGTCATGGCTGCAGGAGGAGACAATGTCCTCCATCTTGTTGGGGCCGTGGGGGGAACTTGGGACCCACTCGGAACCTGGCCCGTAGGGCTGGGCGACGTGTCCCGGGAAGTCCCCGCGGGGCTGCGCCATTCGGCCGAGGGGAGCCCCGCTGTCGGCGCCGGTGCCCGGAGACAGGCGCGACGGCTGGGGGACCCAGACGCAGCTCCCGCCCCACCGGCCAAGACGGAAGCGCTGCGGGCGCCCCTGGAGCCGGGCCCCTGCGGGTGGACTGGCCGGGGCGCTCGCGTGTCCCTGGGTGACTCCGCGGTACTTCTGCGTCTCACTCTAGCGCCTGTGAGTGGTATTACAGTGATGGAGTTGGGTTTAATAGTACACCATTTGGCCGTAATATCTGGAAATGCAGATAACATGATTTTTTACAAAACAGGTTGAGCCCCCTTTGATTAGTTCTTCTGGGATATGGTTAAGGCACAGACGTAAATCATATAACATAAAAGCATCTCTATAGATTGATGAGAGTCCTGGGTCATCTTTTCTACATAGTGCTGTATTTTGTGGACATTAGTAATGTCACCAAGATTTTTAATTTTTCAGTCCTCAATTATTGGTTGGAAATAAACGAAGTAACAAACATAATGACAACATTTTCATACCTGTAATAAGTTATAGCCATCCCTTTTCTGTTAAACAAAACCATAGATAAGTTGACTTAATAATGCTCTATAGAGACAATTTAAAATAAGGTCTATCACAGACTAAATGTTAGGTTTAGTAGCCACATGTCATGTATTTGCCGAAGCACTGTCTTGCTCATCATTCTCTGACAGTGATACTCTTCAAAGACGAAAAATTGATAACATTTGTTCTCCCCAATAATCAACCGAGTACTGGGTCCATTTGCCAATGAAAACTCTTACCTTTGTGTGCTGCCATGATTTCAGGGAATGTTGACAATTCAGAACAAGAAAAAGTCTTCGTAGTGATAATATACACTTTAATAAATCTAATGTCATATAAAATTCACTTTCTAAATAAATTTTCCTTAGTAAAGTAGGCGCAACGGTTTCTATACAGACCACAAGAGCAAACTGTAATAAAAAGGCAATATGATAAAGCTGAATGACATTGAGCTTCCCAAGGTGGAAGACTTGCTTTTTTTAATTTTTATTGGGGAATTAGGGGAAGGGGAACAAATAAGTTGCTGTCTTTTTGTTCTTCAGTCTAGTTGTGGAGGACGTTGCTTCACTGGCCCAAGTTGGCACCATCATTGCGCTCTTCCCAACCCGCCACTCGGCCGGCCCCCCCCCTTTTTTTTTTTCCAGCTGAGCCATCCTGCCACCTGCTCAGCGGCAGCTCAGCCTGGGCCGGGAATCGAACTGGCGACCCTGTTGCTCAGAGCTCACATCTCTTGAGCGAGCTCTTAACCAACTGAGCCACTCAGCCGGCCTCTTCAAATTCTTATTTGGTCCACCACTAATTACAAATCCTTGACCATCTCTTACTCTCCCTCAGCCTCACTTGCTATTTTGTAATAGAGTAATACAGGATGTTTTAAGAATCAAATAAAAATAATTTGTGAAACTGGTAATAAGACAATGTTATTTATTCTGGATCTTGTGGTAATTAAGGATTCACCATTTGTGGAAAGGCAGAGAAGCACTGTGACTAAGTACACTTTCTGGAGCCAGATTGCCTGCCTTTGAATCTTAACTTTATCACCAGCTAGCAAGTTACTTAAACTCTCTCACTTTTAGGAGGTTACATATCAGACACTGAATATTTCCATCATTTCCAAGAACCCCATAGGCAGTCACTGTATTCATCATGTTAAACATTACTAGGAGAGAGGCAAGAAAGATTGAAAAACCAATCAGACATCTTAAGCTTTTCAATCTTTGTTCCTTCTCTCCTAATAAGTTATCTTCATTATTTTGTTTAAAATATTTTTTGTTTTGTTGTTTTATCTAAGATAAGCATTAATTCCCTTAGTCTTTTTTCTCACTAATTCCCTCCCCCCCCACACACACAATTATTTGGATCCATGCTTATGATATCCTGTGTAATATTTGGATCATGATTTCAGATTATACTAAGCCACTTTCCAAGAATAAATATTGGTTCCAAGTACATTTTCTCTAAGCCTTCTTCATTTTGTGTATTGATTTCAAGAATTAAACCTTTTCTTTTTGTATTGCAATAATAATGTGCTAATTTTACATTAAAGATTTTTTGTTTCATAAAGTATTATTGTAATGAATTCTTTTCTTAATGTACCACTGAGTCAATTGGGAATTAATAATAAAATATAAAATTGATCAAGCTTCTACTATGTGTCAGGTGCAATTCTAAGTGTCATATACATGATAATTCATTAAATACTAAAAAAACCTCCTTTTGGGCCGGCCGAGTGGTGCGCTGGCTTGGGACGCCAGAGGGCCCCGGTTCGGATCCCACATATGAGGGCAGTGACACTGCCCTCTACAACTAAGATGCTGAACAACAGCTCAGCCTGGAGCTGGGCTGCCATAAGTCGCTGGCGACGGCGTGGGCTGTAGCCCCTGCTGCAGTGGGTTGCCATGGGCTACCGTGTGTAGCCAGCAGCCAGCGTGAGCGGCCAGCAGACCC